TACTGAAATCCTAAGTAACACTCAATACCTGGTGAGAGATGTAAAAGTGATTGCATCGCTTGGGAACAGTGATCATAATGTTGTTGAGATCAACATTTGTACAAATAGGGAATTGGCCAAAAAGACTCACACAACCACTTTTGGCAGAAGCACCTGGGATCCATTCTTTCCCCCCTCTCATAAGAACATAAGAGATGCCAATGTTGGATCAGGCCAAAGGCCCATCCAGTCCAACACTCTGTATCACACAGTGGCCAGAAATACTAGTGCCATCAGGAGGTCCACCAGTGGGACCAGGACATTAGAAGCCCTACCACTGTTGACCCCCCCAAGCACCAAGATGACAGAGCATCACTTGCCCCAGAGTCCCTATCTATACCTTGTGGCTAATAGCCACTGATGGACCTCTGCTCCATATGCTTATCTAATTCCCTTTTGAAGCCGTCCATGCTTGTAGCCGCCACCACTTCCTGTGGCAGTGAATTCCAAGTGTTAATCCCTCTTTGGGTGAAGAAGTACTTCCTTTTATCTGTTCTAACCCGACCGCTCAGCAATTTCATGGAGTGCCCACGGGTTCTTGTATTGTGAGAAAGGGAGAAAAGTACCTCTTTCTCTACCTGCTCTTTCCCATGCATAATCTTATAAACCTCAATCATGTCACCCCTCAGTCGTCGTTTCTCCAAGCTAAAGAGCCCTAAGCGCCTTAACCTTTCCTCATAGGGAAAGTGTTCCAACCCTTTTGTCATTCGAGCTGCCCTTTTCTGCCCTTTTCCTAAAGCTATAATATCCTTTTTAAGGTGTGGTGACCAGAATTACACACAGTATTCCAAATGAGGTCGCAACATTGATTTATATAGGGGCATTATGATATTGGCTGATCTGTAAGCTGTCCTGAGCCGGCCTTGCTGGGAGGACGGAGTAAAAATCTAATGAAATAAATAAAATAAATGAGATCGACCTTGGAGACTCTTTTCACCTGGCGAGGTTAGATAGGGCACCATTATCTATGTTGCCACAGAAACACTCGGGGGTAGGTGTGACGTATGAATGTGTGGAATGTTATGCTTTAACGTGATTTCCTTTGGTTTTCTTCAGTCCTAACAAAAGTTCTTGTACCTACAGCAAGCATATCTCTAATAAAGCATTACACTGCCAATAGTGTGTGTGAAGAGTGTCTTAGCTGGGAACCTGACAGTATCATACTTTGGTCTCATTATGAGAAGACAAGGAGTCACTGGAAAAGTCTAGGAAAAGAGGAAGACCCAACATGAGATGGATTGACTTAGTCAAGGAAGCAACAGCCCACCCTTTCAAAGATTGAGCAAGGCTGCTAATGATAGGATGTCACACAGCGGCCAAACCCAGGTGCCATCAGGAAGTCCACCAGCAGGGCCAGAACTCCAGAAGCACTCCCAACTGTTGCCCCTCAAGCACCAAGAATGCAAAGCATCACTGCCCCAAACAGAGTGTTCCCTTGTGGCTAACAACCACTCCATATGCTTATCCAATCCCCTCTTGGAGCCCTCTGTGCTTGGAGCCGCCACCACTTCCTATGGCAGTGAATTCCACCTGTTAATTACTCTTTGGGTGAAGAAGTACTGCCTTTTATCTGTTCTAAACCTACTCATTAATGAATTTCATTGAGTGCCCACCAGTTCTTGTATTGTAAGAATGGGAGAAAAGCACTACTTTCTCTATCCCATGCATAATTTTGTAAACCTCTATCATGTCACCCCTCGGTTATCATTTCTCCAAGCTACAGAGACCTAACCTCTTACGTTTTCTTCATAGGGAAAGTATTCCATCCCCTTAATCATTTTAGTTGCCCTTTTCCCAATGATATAATATCTTTTTTCGAGGTAGAGTGACCGGAATTGCACACAGCATTCCAAATGATGCCACACTGTCGGTTTATATATTTTATTTTATTTTTATTTATTATTAAATTTATACCCTGCCCTTCCCCGTAGGGCTCAGGGCGGCTTACAAGGCAAGTATAGGGGCATTATGATACTGGCTGATTTGTTTGCAGTCCCCTTCCTAATCCCCAGCATATCATTTGCCTTTTTTATTGCTGTCGCACACACAGCTGAAACATTGAGTGATCTACCACGACTCCAAGATCTCTCTCCCGGTCGGGGCATTCCCGTGTAGGGTACCTTGGGAAAACCTGTAGCTCAAACCACGTTAAACATCCTACCAAGCTATACATCCCTTTCTATAACGTGAATAATTTAGAAAAGTCAAAGATACAATATACACCTAATTTTCAAGGCGTTCATACTGCCGAAACGAAACTAATAACTTTACAACCCAAGGCTTAACAAGGGGGAAATGCAATTAACACAAGGCTCTCCGGTTGCTTAGCGAATGGCCCGCGCGAGCCATCAGCGATTCCATTCCCGCATTTCTAACATTTGTGCCCACTGCGCACACAGGACACGCGCAAAGCGCTCTGGACAGAGCAGGTTTTCTACTTCCCCATCTGGTCAACTCCTTGGTTGTATCTGAGCCGGAAACCAGCAGTCCCGTTAGAAACGGGCGCCTCCATGAGCCCACCGGCACAAGGATGCCGCACAAGGCCTAATGCGCAGGCGCGGTGTGCCGCGAAGCTCTCTGGGAAGCATTTCCCCCCCTTGGAAGCTCCTACGGGGGGGGGGTGCGTGTGTGTGGATAGAACGGTAAAAAGCCTGAAGGCCAAGGGATGATATGAAATAAGAAAAAACATACGCCACCTAATATAACGATCAATTACGGTACGTGTGTCTAAAGAAGCAATTACCGTTTAAAGGGCTTTTTTTTTAAAGAGCGCCGCGCGAAGAGTGTTGGGTAATGAAGTGTTTTCCTTTTACTTTGTTGCTAGGCTGCGTGACGTAACAGGATGAGGGAAATCCGTCATTGCTCAAAAGCGGATTGGACGATAGGCGGGGCTAGGGGCTGGCAGGCAGCGCTTCACCAGAGGGCGCCGGGAAAGTGGCCAAAGGCATTGAGGCCTGGCCCTTCCCAGAATCCCACGCGCCGCATCCAATCGTCTCCCAGCTTTTTCCGGCCACCGCCTTCTTGATTGGCTCTTCATCTTGGGCCAATGAGCGCCGTCTTTGCTTGAAGGTGGGAGAAGCGATAGTAGGAGCCTTGATGGGACTTGCGGGAGGCAGGTAAAAGGACTGGTGGAGCGTGGGAAAAGGTGGGGGTGGCTGGGTGCTGAATAAAGGCAGCTTCTGAGCATGCACAGAGTACCTTAAATAATGATAGGAAATGTGAGCCAGTGAGAACGTACAGGGATTCTCAGACCAAGAGGTCATAGGGAGGCGTGTTGGTCCAAAGCAAAAGCCACGTAATACCTTATTGGATCGACCAAAATAACCCCAAACAGTGCATGGACTATCTTTAGTGCAGGATAAGGATCTCTGAGCTTAAATAATGCTGATATATTTAGGTGGGTAGCCATGTTGGCCTGAAGCAATAGAACAAAATTTGAGTACAGTGGCACCTTTAAGACCAACGAGGTTTAGTTCGGGGGATAAGCTTTTGTGTGCATGCACTCTTCTTCAGATACCAGTCTGAAAAAGTGCATGCACAGTGCACACAAAAGTTTCTACCCAAAATTACACTTTGTTGGTCTTAAAGGTGCCACTGGACTCAAAATTTGTTCTTAAATAATGCTGGAAAAGGAACTTCTGAGCATGCACTGAGGTTCGTTCATGGTGCAGGTTAGTTGGGTTTAAAGTTGTATTGAAAAGTAACTGGGGACATCCAGCTTTTCCTCCTTCACTCTGGAATGATCATTGTGTAAGGGTAAATCTTGCCCTTTCACCGCTTTGTTTCTGTTACTAAAATATTATCTAGGGTAGAGATGAGAAGGCCTAGAAGGAAAATTGGATTGGGGCGGGGGAGCACATGCAGTGTGCTGGATCTCAATAATGAGGACCTGAAAACATCTGCCTGGCCCAGGTGGGGCATGTCTAGTTTTCATTCTGCCCTGTACAGTGTCCTCCTTAGTTCTTTACACCTGCCTCTTTGTTCTTATATAATCCTAATCCTGCTTCCCTGTTCCTCCTCAGTTCTGAGGGGAAAAAATTAAATGAATGGAAGCAAAATAGAACATTTGTGTCCCTTTATTTCCACTAGATCTCTGTTTATTTTGAATAAAAAACACACAGCATGGGGTGGGGAGGACCAGAGAATATTCCCGGTTGTGACCATCCAGTTTTGTTTTTGTCTCCTTCAGTATCTCAGGATCTCTGCTCAGGATGCATCAAGGGGCCACCTTCATCCTCTTCCGCCGTGGGATTGCTTCCATTTTCCCCATGACATGGGGACGGACCCTGCCCCCCCACGTCTCACTAGACCCTGCGGGTGCCTACCAGAGATTTCCAGGACAAGGGCTACCATGGAGTCATCAGCAGATCCGCACCAAAGCCCGGGGAAATGAATACCAGCCATCAAACATTAAACGGAAACATAAACATGGCTGGATCAAGCGCATCCGGACAGCCAGCGGAATTGAGGTGATCCTCCGGCGTATGCTGAAGGGCAGGAAATCATTGACACATTGATGACTCAGAAGGGTTAGCTCCAGAAGAACAATGCTGAAGCAAGATTCCAAGAATTGAGATCAAGATCTGTTTGAATATCAGTGGCTTTCCTTGCTCTGTTGGAGAAGTGTGGCAAACACTTCCACGCACCAACCTTAGCTATAATCTGCCCTTTCAAGGGAAAGGGGGAAATTCTTCGGCATCATTCAGTAGCTAATTTTCAGTTAGTATTAAAACAAATGTTTCATGCTTTCACAACAAAAGGAGAACATTTGAGATGCAATTAAAAGTGTAGATGATACCAAGCTTTATGCTTGTTTTTGTCATTCAGCTGTGTGCATATGGACTGTTTGAGTGTTTTTAATGCAACAGTTTGTAGTTAGTACTCCATCCCTAATTCTATGTGTAAAACTAAAAGGTACATAATGTCTGAGATTTGCTCCAGTTCAGCAATGAAGCTCTAGGGATCCAATTGTACACACACTCATGGATTTTCTTTGTTTCACAAAATAGGCATGACACACACTCATGGATTTTCTTTGTTTCATGTACGTTTTGACACAAAATAGGCAGGGTCACATCTACAGTTTTTACAGAGGCAAACTCTCTCATTAGCAGCTGTGTATCCATGACTAAGTTCATGCTTTCCCATATGAAATAGCTGAACTAGAATTTATCAGGACGTTGTATTTGTCTCTGCTTAACTGATATGCAACTTTCCCCACTACTAGTGATGTGGAGGCCTGGTATACAACTGGGGGGAAAATACTGTTTCCCTGCGATCTTTTTAAAAAAAATTTCAACAGAAAAATTGAAAATGTTGGGGAGTACTGGGGGGGAAAATCCCTTCTATGCAATGTTCGCTCTTTTAGAATGAGTGAAATACTTTTAAAGACAAGGTGGGTATGCACTCAGAAGGATACCTAATCTTAATGAGGGGAGCATGTTAGGCTTTCATTGCTTTTTCAGTTGTTGCTTACCTTCTGTTGTCCTAATGGTTGACCTTTTCACCTCTCCCTCAAACCACTCTGACACACATACCCATGGATTGGGCAAAAAGTAGTTTATTGCCCTACCTTGATGGAGGTATCATTAGAAGGAGACAGGGATGTGAAGGCCGGGTGTGTGTGTGTGTGTGTTAATTTTTTAGAATTAGAAATTTTAGAACTGGAAAAAAACTCCAATAATATATTTTCTGTTTTAGAATGAGTGAAATGCTTTTAAAGATAAGGTGAGTATGCTGTAGACTTATATGGCTCTTAAATCCAAGGTGCATTTCTGCACCTAAAAAGATCCTAATCTTCACGAGGGGAGCACATGGGGCTTTCATTGCTTCTCAACAGATGTATAAGATCTTTTTGGATCTTATATAGTTGACCTTTTCACCTCTCCCTCTTACCACTGTGACACATTTACTCACAGAATGAGTAAAAAAAGTAGCTTATTGCCCTGCCTTGCAGGAGAGAGAAAAAAGAACAGAAACTACACCAATGCTTCAGAGGAAAACTGAAAGTTTCATTGAGAACTTAGCTGTTTCTAACCAGATAGCAAAAATTAAGGGACATGTGGTAAGATAGCACAAGGTGCATCAGCCTGCAGTTTTCTCTCAAATATTGGGTATATTTGCAATTTTGCTTGTACAAAGCTAAGGCATTTATAACTTTTAAAGTCCATAAGTAAGTCAAATGTTGCAATTTTATATGCTAAGCTACAAACTATGCAGTTTATGTTGTTAAAGCAGTAAAACTAGGTTTGATAGGACAGTAAGTATTGCATATATTTCAATCCCCCCCCCAAAAAACCATTTTTTTCTACACAGGGCTGGTGTCGCTAGCAGAGTTTGGGAAGGTTGTATTAGGACCCAGTCCCTTGCCGTTGTGAATGTCCTCACAACTCCCTAGACATAGCTTTAACTAGGAATGAAGGTTGGCTTACAGCCATAGTTCCAGTAACTGAATTAGTCCGAAAAATAAAATAAAATTAAAATTGTATTTAGGAGAAGGGAGACATTACTATGTCTTATGGCTATGATCATCTACCAATTCATGGTCAGCACAACTGGTTCAAATCTATTCCTGCAGTAAATCAGGCAATAATTGCATTTTCCATGCCCTTTTCACATGTCTGACATGGATGTCCCTTTAATTGGCCCTGCTGGGGCATTGATTCCAAGTCAAGCTATGGTCTGGTTTGCAAAACAACAACAAAAGTTGCATCTGTACTTTTTGTGTGGCATCTGGATCCAAATGTAGCTAGATTCCAATCTTGCCTTTAAGGGTAGAGTCACTACGTTTTTTTGTTTCATAGGGAGTGGAATACCTGGCTGGTGCCTCCAGCAGGCAGAAATCTATCAGATGCAGTGGGTACTCTCTCTGTCAAGCTGGAGAAAAGCAGGCACCAAATAAATGCGTGTCATGCCCGTCTTAGTAGTATTATTAGAAAAATACAATAAAACAATAAGAGGTTCAACCAATGATAATGTGAGCAAATCAGTCAGCCACTGATTATAGACAATAAGAGGTCATTCGCCTTTCCTATTATTTCGTGCTCAGTCACTGCCCCCTATATATGGGTGGTGGCTCAGCTGCAACCTGAATATTCCCTCGTACGTGCAAGAATGACCGTAGAACTACGCTTCCCGTGATGCCGCAGCGGAAGTCCTGCCCCCTGCGCTCCACATCCAGGTTTCCTTTTCCTTTCGCTCAGTCTTTCCTTTTCCCGTTCCTCAGCCGCCTGAGCACGGAAGACCGATTGGCGGGGACGGGAGCGTTTTCCGGAGTGGCGGTCGTCTCGCCCAATTGGAAGCTCGCTTCCTCCCGCGACAGGCCAATGGGAGGCCGGAGGGGGCGCGGCCCGGCAGCCAGACTAAAGGGGGAGGGGGCAGCAGGAGGGAGGGGATGCGAAGTTGTTGAGGAGGCGTCTGGTGGGGAAAATGGTAGGTGGGCGGCCCCCCTCGTCGGATGGAGGGGGCTGCGTGCGGGGGGAGGGGGCTGCGTGCGGGGTGGGGGCTGGCCGGGGGCACG